ATGTAACAGTAATAAATGGCCCTGGGGTGTGTTTGAGAAGAGACACGAAAAGGATTTCAATACCTAAATAGTAGAGAAGATCGCTGGTATGATAATGAGTAAAGAAAAATCATACCTTTTAAAGTTAGTATCTGGTAAAAGTAATTTTGGATGTTTATTTAGAAACATTATGAATTTGCTATATTTTTAGCCCTGTGCATGCAAATTTTGAGGAAAATCCCGAATGTTTGAAAATCCATGGATTTCTAAGATTTTTCAAGGATTTTGGCTAGCACCAAAAATAATACATTGACATGAAATTTATCCTCTCAGTGCTGCTGTGGTATAGCTAATGATGCTAAACACATAAACCTCCTGTTTATATATTATTAAGGTTTCATGCTAAAAGCATGAAAACGAAGGTTGGTACAGCAGTTTAAATTGAAAGCCTGCTGACTAATCCATTTCACATGCTCTAATGTAAAATGGACTCAAAGCATTGGGGAACAGATTTGTTAAGATCTCAGTCAAGAAAATGAATGCTTCAACCTGATACAGCAAAGAATCTGACATTTATGACAAATGTCTATTTAACCACAGTAAAAATTTACATACCGTTAAGCATATAGGTGGGCATGTTAGTCATTTTTTATTTTTCTTTAACAAAATTATAATTATAAAGCTGACATAATTCATTTTTTAAATGGCAAGTAAAACCTACAACTAACCATGCCACCAAAACGAAATCACTACATTTCTTTCTAGCATTTTTTCATGAGGCATATTTTCTGTATGGTGGTCAGCATGATGTAAGGGCCATTTTACCCACTGCTTTTTTCTGCCGTTACAAACCATGTATGGCCCTCACTTTGAATGAAGCACAGATCTTAGGAAAACAGAGCTGCCCCCTCGGTCTGCTTTTAATCCGTTAACACTTACAGGTTAACACATACCCCCATGTTTAGCTTACGTTTCTGAAAGAAAGAGTATGAAGTCAGTACGGGGAAAGATAGCAGCAGGGGGTGATAGAGAAGTTAAAAATAAAACTCTTGTCAAAAGTAATGGAAAGGGCTGGCAGTGGCAGAGATTAAATGCATTGCATCGTTTTCCTCTGCTTTACTTGAACATTTCTTCCCTTTGCTTAGCCCTGGAAATTAGCCCTGCAGCTCCCTGACTGTCTAGAAGGTTGTGGAGTTTAAAAAGTCAGGAATGAGACAGTGTCAGAGAGAGAGAAAACTTCAGGGCAGAGACCCAGTCTCCTCCCCATATTTTGGTTTTACTGAACTCAAAACTGGTGGAGAAATCTCCTCTTGGTAGAAATGAGTTCAAGGGGACCCCAGTAAGGAAGGGTGAGAACTCAGGGGGATAAGCATCATGGCAGGAAGTAGGGGAGGAAATGAAGCCCAGGGTCAGGGGGAAACTGGTACAGAACCCCAGTGCCTTTGACCTTGTGCAGTCCCCAAGTGACTTCCTCCTCAGAAGTCACTCCATCATAAGGGAAGAGGGATTTTCCCTGCCCCACCTTCCCAATCAATGCAATGGTATGACTGGGGAGGGGAGGGTCATTACTGGTTTTGGAGCTTCTCAGCATCTCAGAGAGCACCCCGCTTCTGGCTGAGAGCTTATCCTTTTTCTTTTGTCTCTCAATGGGCTCTTTCTTCCTATTTAAAATGAACGGACGCGCTTTGTCCACTTAGCTCCTTTGCCCTGACTCTTCCCCTAAGAAAAAATTTGAAAGTCATGTAGTAGAAACAGGATACTAGAATCTCATAGTTGAAGGATTCTCAGAGGGAGTAAAGAATCATCTACAAAAATCCAGACCCTTCCACGGCACTGTTTGCTCAGGCTCTTGCGTCTCACGATGCGATCTGGAGCCAGAACCAGCACGGTCAGCACCACCTGGAAGGCTGTTAGAAAGGTGGACTCAGCCCTACTCCAGACTCCTACATCAGAATCTGCATCTTACCAGGCTCTCCAGGCCAATCCTTTGTGCAGATGCAAGTTTGAGAAGGTGAAAGTGAAAGTCACTCAGTCATCTCTGACCCTTTGTGACCCAGCTGCATGGACTATACGATGCATAGACTTCTCCAGGCCAGAATACTGGAGTGGGTAGCTGTTCCCTTCACCAGGGGATCTTCCCAACCCAGTGATTGAACCCAGGTCTTCCGCATTGCAGGTGGATTCTTTACCAGCTGAGCCACAAGGGAAGCCCTCAAGTTTGTGAAGCACTGACTTAAGCCACCCTTACATTTCATCTGAGTTAACAACCATGAACTAGTCTCATTTCTTTCTTCACCATCAATCCTACCATCCCACGTTTCCACCAAGTAGGCACAAAGATGTATTTTTAAATATAAAGTCGGACTTCCCTGGTAGCGTAGTGGATAAGAATCTGCCTGCCAATGCAGGGGACAAGAATTCAATCCCTGGTCCAAGAAGATCCCAGATGCCACAGAGCAACTAAGCCAGTGAGCTTCACCTACCCAGCTACTGAAGCCTGTGTGCCTAGAGCCCTTGCTCCACACGGGAAGCCCCCACAGTGGGAAGTCTGAGGACTGCGACGACAAAGAACAGCGTCTGTTCCAGCAAAGCAGTGAAGACCCAGCACAGTCAATGCAGAAGTAAATAAATAAAATAATAAAAATGTAAGACAGATCCTTGTGTTCTCTGTGGAACCCCCCTAAGAATACCCCATTTCACTTAAAATATAAACCAAACTCCTTTTTGTGGTCAATAAAACCCTCAAGTGAGTTGGCCCCTGACAACCTTGCCTAGCTCCGTCTTTGCTCTCCTTCACCCTGGCTCACTCTGCTCTCGATATGAGAACTATGAAACCTGCCAGATTCTGTCCTGCACCAGACATTTGAGGATGGGCTTCCTTCTACCCAGATCTCCACAAAATCATCTTTTATCCTATATTTTCCCGTCAGGAGAAAGATGAGAGTTGTAATTCTCATCTTACCCTCAAGTAATTGTCTTCTTCTCATCATCAGGCCTTGGCTTAGGATGTATCGTTTCCATGATGAGGCTTCTCATCTATTCTCTGTTCCATCAGAGCAATTTGCATTTTGTAACTTCTCATCATCTGTGTCTTGTCTGTCGGCTTGCCCTCTGCTCACAGTGATGATGTCTGTTTCATTCCTCTCTGTACCCCTAGAACCACGCACGTGCACAGAGAACGTTCAACAGATGTTTGTAGAATGAATGGCCCCTCCCTGTAAGAGGCTTTTAACATTCTACCAGTTACTTTAGCACTTCTGAATAAGTGTTATTCTATTCTTGTATCTCTTGCTTATACTGGAAAGAAATTGCCGCCTTTAACCAGTTGAAGGAATGGGCAGCTGAATTCAGAACTAATTCCCGGTGATAAGATGACTCTAAATTTAGGCTGATGCCACTAAAGATAAACAAAGTAGGGAAATTCTTCCACTCAACTGTTTCTAAGAAAACTTGTTATTAAAAGCCATTTTACTAACGTTACTTGATAGTCAGCGGTTACCAAAATCTATAGACAGAGTGTACAGTTTGGGATTTAGACTAAAGTGAATCTGAAATGAGTACAACCAGGTTTTACTACTGGTGTCTAGGATTCCATTGCCCACATGTGACCCAAATTAAAAAAAAAAAAAATGTGAACTGAATGTTTAGGGGATGCTTTTCGTTTTGATAAGGCAGTTCTGTGGTATTACGGAAAGAAAGTTGAAGTCCGGGAATCTCGGTTCTGGTTGAGCAGTCAGCATTGTGTGTAATTTTCCACATAGCGCGTAAAATTCTCTGAGTTCTAAGTGAGAAGAACAGACGCGCCGATCACCCTCTGCAGTTGCTGTGAAAACATCTAGTGAAATCATACACTTGCCCTGTAGTCAGAAACGTAGGAGGTTTTACACCAACATATGTTGTTAGCAATTTAAAGATGGAGGACATTTTAGGAAAGTTCTAATTAAGAAACAGCATTTGGAGAGGTTTTTTGTTTTTTTTTTTTTTTTCCGATCGTTTATAACAGTGCCTGAGAAGTGTGTACTGAGCTGCAATAGACAGGGAGGCGCGTGGCTCTGCTAGGCGTTCTCCTGGCCGAGCCTCTGTCTGCACTTTGCTGCATTCCCTCTTACCTGCCCCGTTCTCTCCACAGCCTTGTAATGGAGAGCTCTGCTGGGGGCCCCACCAGCTCGGGTGGGCAGACCCTTGTGAAAAAGGAGCCTGCAGGCCAGGCTAGTTCTTCCTCCCATTTCTCCACCCTTCCAGACCTTTCAAGTGCTTCCCCCTCAAAATGGCACCAGAGTTCATACACTTACCACTTTTTTCTGGAAAATAAAGTTCATCTAACGTTTAGTTTTAAAAAAAAGTGGGAGAACACTTGCATCCTTAAGGTGTGTACACCCTTTTCTCTTCTTGTATCTAAAGCTGTATTCCTAATGTGGATATGTGACTTCATACAGAGAAAACTTTTTACTGATGGCATTCTGGGAGCCAGCCATCTGCTGGAGCTGTCTAGTAGAGGGTGGAGGATGGGGATGTTTTTCAACCCCCATCCCCTGCCCTGCCCACCCCGCTGCCTCTTTTTCTCTTAGCAAGGAGCAGTCTCTTGGTGTTTCCTGGCCTGGACAGATTAGCACTGTAAAACATCGCCACCTTCAGTTACAACTGGTCAGCGTGGTTCTGCACTTTCCAGAAACCATGCTGAGCAAGCTCTCCCGTCTCCACACTTCTCTGCTTGCTGAGCCTTTGTACCAAGCCTGGATGTGTATCTCTCTCTACAACTTAGCACTAAAAAAAAAAAAAAAAAAAGGAAACCTGGAAATGGGCCTAGAGTGGATACAAGAGTTAATCCACTCAAAAGGTTTTGCTGATGTCAGAGTGAAGGTCAACATGCTTTCCTGTCTGACTCTTTGAGACCCCATGGACTGCAGCCCACCAGCCTCCTCTGTCCATGGGATTTCCCAGGCAAGCATACTAGAGCGAGTTGCTGTTCCCTTCTCCAGGGGATCTTAGAGACCTGGGGATCTTCCAGACCTGGGGATCGAACCTGAGTCTGCTGCACTGGCAGAAGGTTCTTTAGCACTGAACCACCTGGGAAGCCCTTTTAGGTAACAGAATAACTAAAACCATGTACTTTCTTGAGAATCACCCATTGCTCTTTTATAGGACCCATACTTTTAAAGGTCCAAAGATTTTAAGTAGTAAAAATATTATGTCACATTTCTTGACAGAACATACATCTTTGGTGAAGAAGTATCTTTTCTATCCTGGTAGTAAGGGATTTTGAGTGTTTCTATGAGTTTTCACCCAGCAAATATGTGTGTTCAGATGGGGCACAAAGTGATGTGAGCAGGTCTTGACAGTTCAGGGCAGGGCTGGGAATTGCAGAACCAGAATCTGACACTTTCTAAGCTGCTTGGTGTCAGCAGCCACTTAAATTCAGGAAGTTGAGAACCAAATCAATGAGTCTTTTCCAATAATAGTTTAACATCTCAATGTGAATAAATCTTTGGTTGATATTTTTATAAGAAAATCCTTTGTACTTTCCCCTCAGCCTCACAACATGCTCAATAAAGGGTCTGTGGCACCAGTGAAAGGGATGAGCAGACAACTCCATGGGAACGTTCCAGAAACATGTGTTCCTCACTCCCACCAGCTGTTGCCAACTTCGTGGCCTGACACAATACTCCAGATTCAGAGTATTCAGTTAACCCTTTCTTAGATCAGGTTCCAATCTAGTCCCCACGGATGGTACAGAGAGCACTCAGCAAGTAATCTTCAGTCAGGCTCCATATCCTTCTTCATTTGTCATGAGATGGTGTAAGTCACCTGTCACCACTCTTTAGAACTTGAAGTGTTTTTGATAAGTGGGCCCACAATGAATTTCATTTACATTGGATTAAGGAAACGTGACTCTAGCATTGACCCTCCTGATCTTTGATTGATATCCCTCTCTTAGGTATAGAAATGGAAGGAAATGGCCTCTTGGAGAACTTTGAAGTCATGTCCTTGAAGATGCCTAGGTTTCCAGTAGCTGTAGATGTGAAGTGCATTGTTTACATGTTAAGGCAATTATAGCTAAAGCTGATTGTTTTGTTTCTCAAGGAAAATAGTATTCCTTTACCTTTTAACAATAAATAACAAGAGAACAGTATTTTATCATAAAGATACATTGCTTTTCTTTCTCTTCTTGATGTCTAAAGCTGATTTTCTAGTATGGACACATAACTCCATATTTAGAAGTAAAATAGACATTTTGGGAGCCAACAGTGACGTTCAGTCTCAAAAATTGGATCCACCGTTGCAATCGCAAACTGTCCATTATCTTCCTAAGAAAATACTAATTTATCAGTCCCAAGAGCCAAAGAGTTGTTCTGTGTCAGCAATCAGCTTAGCCTCATAATTATAAATTTGTGAGGATCTGTTGAAAGACATGGATCCAGAAGAATTATAGTGTTTCATAGTGAGTCACTCAGAATAAAGAGCCCTGTTATTTGTAGACATTCCATACAGTCATAGAAATTTAGAGGTGGGTCAGGTCTTAGCCATCATGTGTCTAACCCCTTTATTTTACAGATGAAGCAATTTTGGCTAGAACTTAGGAAATACATGAAAATACTTTAATACGTAGCACATCTTCAATAGCTTTACCAAGACTGTCTTTGAAATAGTCAACATGTTCAGTTTGTCCAACATGTGGGCAAGGGTGACTCACTGTGACAAGACTCATGTGTATGTAATATACTTTGCATCTTTGGTCTAGCATATTCCTTTGTACCTTTGTCCCCCCCTGCCCAACACCCTCTCTCCTCCCTGCATTCATTTATTTTTTAAAAGGTTTAGTCCTTGGTCCCTATATCTGTGACATGCTGTGCCTGAGAGAGGGCTGTTATAAACAGATTGGTTCTTAAGCAGGCTTTGCCTTTGAGGGACTCTCAGTGGAGAAGGTGAGACATGCTTAAGTGAATTGTTGAAACAGAGCTTTATACATGCCTGACTCTCAGTATGGGCAAGTATATCTCAGGGCACTGAGAAGCAACGGACAACAATTATCTGGGAAAGTCAGAGGAAATGAACCAAGGAGGTAACACGTGAGGGGAGGCTTGGCAGATGAGCTTCCATCTCAGACAGAGAAGGCAGCAAAGGCATCATGGGAGAGAGGTGCTCGCCACAAGGAAGGAAAATGAAAGAAGGATACGGGACATCCAGAAAGGGTGAGTTTAGTGATGGAAAGGCAGAGGAAAGTTAGTGATGTGGGAATGATGGTACTGAAATGAGAAGATAATTAGAACATAAAGAATCCTCAAGAATTTAGCTACTATCCTGAAAAAAAGGTTCATCAAAACTTAGTTGTTCAAGTATTATTTCCGCAACACAGGTTCAATTCAGTTCAGTCCAGTCACTCAGTCGTGACTTGACTCTGCGACCCCGTGGACTGCAGCACACCAGGCCTCCCTGTCCATCACTAACTCCTGGAGTTTACCCAANTGGTGATGCCATCCAACCATCTCATCCTCCTGCCTTCAATCTTTCCCAGCATCAGGGTCTTTTCAAATGAGTCAGTTCTTCTCATGAGGTGGCCAAAGTATTGGAGTCTCAGCTTCAACATCAGTCCCTCCAGTGAACACCCAGGACTGATCTTTAGGATGGACTGGGTGGATCTCCCCGCAGTCCAAGGGACTCTCAAGAGTCTACATGTAAAGTTTTCTCTGCCATTTTTGTTTTACCTGTAAACCACTTGTGTTATTATTTTAAACTTGTTTTTCTAAGACCACTTATTTTTAGCATATTTGTTTTTAAGAGAAACTTTAGGTCAGTGTGGAAAATCATTGTCATAGTAAATTCAAGGACATAATTAAAATGGAATAGAAATAAAGCATTTCTGTGAACTCTCTGCTTATGAAAGGCTCTGAGGTACAGGCCAACAGTCTCATTATTCTGAAAGGAGTTTGTAAGTCTTGGAGAGGAGTTAAAGGCAACGTAGCACCTAACAGAGAGTTCTTAAATAATCAAGAATAAGGAGTTGAAAGGTGAGAAGCTCGCTTATTCTTTAAATCAGGGGTATTTAGCATGGTTTCTGCGCACTGGGGTATTGTTTTAGGCAGTACAAGGCCACCTCAACGTTTCTAAATTAAGAAGTGACAAAATCAGACTTATCTGAATAGGGGATCAAAAAGGAAAACCTAACAAGTAGACAGAAACCTGCACAGACTATGGGAAGGTCTGTGTGGTCTAGTCAGTGTGATAAGATGAAGCAAGGGACCAAATTAGAGAAGGACTGAGGATCAGGCCCCAGTAAGACTCGCTGCCTAAGGGGTGAGGGGCAGGGATCATAAAACAGAAGGGTCCACACATAAGCGGTATCATATGGTATTTGTCTTTTACTTACTCTCCTCAGTGTGACAGGCTCCAGGTTCATCCACGTCACTGCAAGTGGAGTTATTTCATTATTTTGTATGGTCATGTAATATTCCATTGTGTGTATTACCACGTCTTCTTTATCCATTCATCCATCAGTGGACATTTAGGTTGCTTCCGTGTCCTGGCTATTGTAAATAGTTTTGTAGTGAACATTGGAGTACGTGTATCTTTTTGAATTATGGTTTTCTTCAGATATATGCATAGGAATGGGATTGCTGGATCATGAAATCTAAAAGAAAAATGGTACAAATGAACTTATTTACAAAACAGAAATAGAGTCACGGATGTAGAAAACAAACTGTGGTTACCAAGTGGGAAAGGGAGGGAGGGATAGCCTGGGACATTGGGATTTGACATATACACATGTTGTATGTAAAATAGATAGCTGCTTAGAACCTGCTGTATAGCACAGGGAACTTTACTTACTACCCTGCAAGGACCTATATGGGAAAAAATCTAAAAAAGAGTAGAAATGTGTATGTGCACAACTGACTGATTCTGTTGTACAGCAGAAACTAACTCAGCCTTGTAAGTCAACTATACTCTAACAGAAATTAATTTTAAAAAAGAAATAGAAAGATCAGTGATGCCTTGGAGGTGGTTTGCTTGGGAGCTAGAATACATGGTCATATGAATCAGGAATACATTTAGAGAAGATGGAATACAGAGAGAGAGAGTGTGTGTGTGTGTATGTGTGTGTGTATATATTGGATAAGGAAGTGAAAAAGAGAGAGCAGGCCAGTGTGGAAGGTGATAAAACCCCTGGATGAGAACATTCTACCTGTTACACATACTTGCGTGACGTAGGCTCACGTTAGATGCTTGTTTAAGACATGGTGGCCTGTAGATGGTCAGCAGGCAATTGGAAATACCCTGCTGGAGGTCGGAGACATTCCAAATGCCAACTAGATTAGGAGAGGGAATTATGGCCTATAAATCAGCCTCAAATGCACTTCCATTTACCTAGTGACCATTTAGAAAATGTGTGCCACAATCAGGAGGACTGGTTTAAGGTATATTTTACATGTTTCCTTTCATAAGATGTTGAAAATTAATCCACTGTACCAAAAAGTCACTGAGAACCTACTCATATAAAGGAATTTTCTGGGTGCTTTGAGGGATAGACAGGAATTAGACATAGACTGTATTCTTACAGAGCTTGTAAAGATCTCATAAGATAATAGATCAAATTGTCAGAGATTTAAAGTTTAACATGTGTAGTGTTTATTCATGATTTCCAGGAAATAAGTTTAGCCTAAAAGTCCTCCTAGTAACCATAATTAGTCTGATCTTTGTTTCCATGCATTATAAGAAATTTATTATGGTGTTGGCATAGAACAACAATATAAGTGGAATTTTTGGTAGATTTATTGAATTGGAAGTGAAAATCTTGTCAGTCATTACGGGCAATGATGTTATGCTTAAAATGCCCATTTTCCCAGCTTAGGAGAAAGAAACTAATTGAGTTTTATCTTTTGTATATAAACAAAATTTTACTTCTCAGACAAGTATATGGTAATAAATGAGAGCATTCTCGTGAAAACTTGTCATCTAATCCATTTTTCCTAACTGGGTTTTTTTTCCAGGAAGTCAAGACAGAGACTAAAAAGCACAGATTTCACTCTCAGCCTAAAAAAAAAAATCATAGGTTTGAATAAGGAGGACAACAAGCCTAATGTTGATGCCCCTTCTTCAGTTTCTAGGCTCTTCTGTGGAAAGAAGTGTTTTCATAAGATTCAGACAGAATTCATTTCCATAGAGCATTCTTAATGGCCCCTGTCAGAAGAAAACAGCTGGGAAACATATGGTATCCATTTCCCTGTATCACTTGGAAAAAATTTCACATGTAAATAAAGCCAACATAAAAGAGTAGCCCTTTGAACCCACAACCTTATATGATACATAAATACATTGGTACAATGCTCTCGTTGTACTGGCCCACTAAGTTATGTGGCTTGAAAATTTTTTTATTACATCCTGAGATTCACATTATCAAGAAGTTCCAAAAACATGAAGGTAGTTGGCAATATATTAGCAAATGTTCTCCCTAATAATAAATGTACATCTCAGAAATGTTAAGGAATATATATATATATATATATATTCTACTATAAGCTTTTCAGATAATTGATGGATAAAATTAAAGGCATATTTACATGTTATAAACTCTGTGTCCACTGTTTCTCTGCTCTTTTAAATAAGTAAGTAACCATGTGTTCTTGAAAGGAAGAGTTAAAGGCTTGGCAAGAATTTCTGGCAGGCATTAATTTTTTTAGCTTTACATTTTATAGGGCAAAAGGACATATAAAGGATAGAAAGACTTTGAAATTTATAATGGACCAGTTGGAATTAGTCTTTGCCTTTGCATATTTACATTTCATAAATAACTAGAAAATCCAGCTCTCATTGGTGATTATCGCTCCTCTGAGTTTATTAAAAGGACTTTGGTTCCCTGTGAAATTAAGCTATGAATCCCTCAGAAGGATGCACTTTGGGCATTTTTAAAGAAATTTACTGTGTTGTCCAGAGTGAGATTCAAACTCAGATACTAGGATTTGTTAATTGTCTGCTCTGTGTCAAGAACTGTATACATGTAAGAACCAGAGTTAACTAAAGGCAGAGGAGCAGCAGCTTAAGAGCATCTAGATACCTCCCTTCCCTTCTGGAATATTCTTGGTTAACACTTGTTTCTTACTAGACAGAATCCTGGCCTCATTCCACATCTGACAGTGTTCTCGTAGGTTCCCGAAAGTCCTCAGAGAAGGATCGCTTCGTGCAGACCCTCTGAGACCACAAGCAAAGTTGTGGTCCTCCGGGGGGGGAGACTCACCCACCGATAGGTATCTCATTCATGCTTAGAACACTCACTGTCATCTTGTTCTGACTCTGGAACTTACCTAAATCCTTTGAGAACACATTGTAGTAGGAAGAAGAATGGCCAGGTCTAAATTTGGGGAACTTTAAATCATTAGTATGCCACTTTCACCCCAAGAATCAGTGATGGCAGGGACTATTGCAGAAGTTACGGTCCCGAATATACCCTCCTCTCAGCATCCTTTAGTGTTTGATTGTGCTGTGTGTGTGTGTGCTCAGTCACTCAGACCCCATGGACTGGAGCCTACCCCGCTCCTCCGTCCGTGGTATTCTCCAGGCAAGAATACTGGGCTGGGTTGCCATTTCTGTCCCCAGGGGATCTTCTCGACCCAGGAATCAAACCCCCGTCTCTTGCATCTCCTCTATTGGCAGATGGAATTCTTTTCCACTGCACCACCTGGGAAGCCCATTTTGGGGTTGTGCTCGCTGGCAAAGAACAGACACACACAGATGCCTCGGTTTAAACACTTCCCACCTGCTGCCGTTCTAGAAGAGGAGACAGAGATGGGAGATGCCGAGTGGGAAGGCATATCCTGAAACCTCACCCCTTTGGTGGAGGATGGTATAAACTAAGTGGGAAAGGAGTAAGAGTCCATAAATCAGTGGCCTGCAAGTTACCAGGGTGCAGGGTCATCTGTCTAGTCAGAGGAGTGTCCCAGAGAGGAAGCTGTATCATCGAGCCCGAGGGAGGAGGCCATTGCTCGGTCAGCCTCTGAGGGGAGGCGGGGGCAGCTGGTCATATGAGGCTCCCTGTGGAAGGAGGTGGTGCTTATCTTTCACCTCTGGATGTGTTGCTGTTTGACTTGACACGTCATCCCAACCAGACACTCAAACGCAGACTATACAATCTTCATCTGAACTTTGCACAGAAATGAGAAGGGGGAACAAAAAATACTAGTCTGCCTGCTTCACCCTCCCTTTGCAACTTCCTCCTGTTCATTTCCAGCTTTCCAAATGACGGAGGGCAGACTCTAAAAGAGCATGTTCCCTTGTGACATGGCAGTGTGTTATGTTGCTGGTCAAATGCCAGAAAGCACTGTCAAATGCCCATGAGCTATGGTTGACTTGAATACTCAGTCTAGGGTGGGATGAACTCCACTGTGGCTTATCTCCCACGGTCCAGCCAGTCCTGACCATTCCATGCCTTCCTGTTCTTTCCTTGATCTATCTGACAGATCACCTAGCAAATCACTCAATGGTTCTCAGTTTAGGTTTGCCCAATATTAAATCATTTACCCCTTCTTTCTCCAAGACTTCATGAGCTCTAAGGGTATACCTATGTGTGTGTGCACAAATGCATGTACATACCTTCTCTCCCTGAATTAGTTTGGAAGTTGATTAAATGCAAAGGATCCCGTCCTCCAATTCTGTTTTTCAGAGTGGTGACAAGTATCAGCATACTGTCAGGGAGGCATAACCACTTAGGGAATAAAACACAGTGTCTGTCTGGGTTTGTTTTCTTTTACTGTTTGCTTCCACTATTATTACTACATGAATTAATTCTGAGCCAATACATGGTAACTTTCTTTTAGCATTCACTGTTTTTCAAGGGTAAGTACAAACTGTTTTATGGTCTACATTCTCTCTTAAATTGTTCCTTAATACCCAGACTTCCTTTGAGCACAACTTGAGTGGATCGTGTCTGCCTACATGGCTATGCTGTTTTCAGTGTTTCAATTTAATAGTCCCCTCTCTTAATTTATTTTAAAACAGTGTCTAGCTCTGGCTGGAATTGTGGTGTCTCAACTCTTATTACAAACACGCAGAAGCCCACAGGAATCGCCGATGTGTATAGTAAGTTCCGCCCAGTGAAAAGAGTGTCCCCCTTGAAACACCAGCCAGAGACTCTGGAGAACAATGAAAGTGATGATCAAAAGAACCAAAAGGCAGAGTACCAGAAAGGGGGTGATTCTGACCCAGGCCCCCAGCCCGAGGAGCTCGGCCCCAGAGCTGGCGAGGGCAGCCCCCAGAGGAAGAGCACGGAACCCAGCACCCTGCTGGGGGAGCTGGAACATTATGACCTCGACATGGATGAGATTCTCGACGTGCCTTACATCAAATCCAGTCAGCAGCTGGCCTCTTTCACCAAGGCGACTTCGGAAAAAAGAATTTTGGGTTTATGCACAAGCATTAATGGCCTTTCCGGCAAAGCCTGCCCTACAGGAAGTGCCGAGAGCTCCCCGTCTAACATGACACCATTTTGTGTTCTTTCTCCTGTGAAAAGCCCTCACTTGAGAAAAGCATCCTCTGTTGTCCAGGACCAACAGAAGCTCTCCCCTGAGGAATCAGAGAGTTCTCCTCCTCTCGTTAAATGTGGCTCTGCTTATGAGCCTGAAGACCAGGGTAAGGACTTCCTACACCAGACCTTCAGTGATCCTCACAGTCGGAAAGTTGACAAGGCAATGGCACCAGATTGCCAGCTCAGGGCCTTCCATCTGCCGTCCTCAGCAACAGACCCCAAACTTGAGGAGCAGATTGGCGGCATGAACTGGACCAGCTCCCAGGGACCCGAAGAAAGGAACGAGTACCTGAAAAAAGTGAAAAGCATCTTGAACATTGTTAAAGAAGGGCAAATATCTCTCCTGGTGAGTATGAACTAATTCAATATACACACTAACCATCTAGAACTCCAGTTTTATCGACTCCGTTCACCAGTAACAGAATGATGGTGCTTTTGTTCCAATTTTTTGCAATGGCTTTCGTTGGACGATGTGACTTTGGAGTTTTAAAATTAAAAGTTAGGTGGTTAATATAAGGAAAAACAAATGGCTATAGAGGGAGTGTTATTTCACTTGAACTGTGCATGGATTCAACTGTAATAAGGACACATAGTCTCAAGTAAAAGCAAAACCAAAAACAAGCCCAGCACTTCTAAAAATATGAATCTTAATGTCTTTCCGTTTGCTTTTCAAATGGTCCCCAGTGCTCCCACTGAGTTATTTGTGGGGATGTCAGTTCCTTGATGATGGGGAACCTGCCAGATACATGAACAGAGGGTCTTCTGTTTTATCCTGATCATTATTCAGAAGACTTGGACCAGGATGTTTGAAAGCATTTGCAGATAGAGACTTACCCTAGAGCTTGATTGCCCTCTGACCCACATGGAGTTTTTATTTAGTTCCAGGTCTGCATGTCTAGGGAGCATGAAGAAGCTTTTCCAGAGACTCTAGACACAGAGTAACATGATGTAAGAAAAGTCTGTTCTGCTTAGGCTCAGAGAAAACTAAACTGAAATCACATTCCATCTGCCTACATTGTTCTTTCCTGGCTTCCAGACATGGATCAAACAGTAGTAAGCTGAGCTGACACTGTGGTGTTAATTAAAGTCTCATTCAAGGAAAATCATCACATCTTGGCCATGTGATTCTACTCAGGGTAAATCTGTGCATAGATAAATATAATGCACTTGGTCTATTACCACAAATTTTAGTGTTATAATAGGATGATATCATTGAACAATTTTACTAAGTCAAGTAATTTTTTTTCTTTTTTTTTTTTTTTTGTCTCTTGAAAATGTCTTTTCCATTTCTCCTGGCTCTTCCTCTCTGGTTCATTCCTTTCTTTTATCTTTCCCATGTTTTATGTTTCCCAAATGGTAACACCTCTCAATTTACCCAACAGTCTTTATCAATGAGTTATGCTCAGGGCACTGAACTTCACTCGAGGTGAAGAAACCAGAATCCAAGTATAGCTTCCAGCTGCCCAGGAGTTTGTTTAGGGGTGAAAGTGTCTGGAGGTACCCGGGGGAGCACAGACTACAGCACCCATCATGAGGCTTGCCATCAGAGCCAGCTCTCCAAAGTTCAAGGCAAGGCAGATGGTTATGACAGGTAGTTCATTCATTCAACAAACCTACCACAAGGAATAAAGCAGACTCTGGCCCTCAGAACATAGCAGGAGTGGAGGAGACAGACCAGAAACCTGCTGGTTACCATAAGTTGTTAGAAAGCTGGCTTGGAGCCTCTACAGACTCGTTGACTCATCTTGGTTGCCTGTCTCCCATGAAAGTAAGTCACTTGAGCATTCCTGTGCTTTCATAGCAAGGAATTCTGACTTATTACAACCCCGTGACTGTCACCAGGGCTTCTGGAAGCTCATCTCTTCTTCCCAAGGCCCAGAGCAAAACGCCCCCAACTTCTCATTCTGTTTTATTGACTTAAGTTTTCCTCATCTATGTGTACAGCCACACCTAGCTGCCGACAATCTAGACAAAATTCATGACGAAGGTGGAAACAATCTCTTACACGTTGCCGCATCACAGGGACACGCAGAGTGTCTGCAGCACCTCACTTCTTTGATGGGAGAAGACTGCCTCAATGAGCGAAATGTGGAGAAGTTGACTCCAGCAGGCCTGGCCATCAAGGTGACTGGTTGGGGGCTGGGCCCTCCACATGTTCCTGTCTTGTAAGATTTCTAGTAAACTTAAGTAAACTTAAGAGTGATGTTCCAAGCAAACAGCATGTGAACCTACTGCATTTAAAAGGTTAACCATCTCAGTCACTAACTGCTTTGGGATTTTGAGACTATATTCCAATTTAGGGTAAGCATCAAAACAGCTAATAAAGAGAAAAGAAAATGATCTGTTGCCATTTTAAGAACTTTTGTTATTCATGGTGACTGAAGTTTGGATTCTTAACCACCCCTGGATCTATGTGAGGCTGTTTCATTTTTTTTCCTAACATGAGTATAAATGAGCAAGACGAATGGGGAAAAGGTGTATGGTAAGGCATGCTAGCCTAGCACTCAGGAGGATTTCAGATAATAAAGTGGACCTCTAATGGATTACATCTGAAGTTGAAGTGTCTGCAGTATCAGGAGTTCTTTAGAATATCAGTGCCGAGTTTGAGTTTGGCTCTCGCAGAGCACAGTATGTTATCTGTCAAAAACTAGGCAAATTAATGCTGACTGGGATAGAGTTAAAACCTAGAAACAGTGATACAGGAAAATGTGGTCTTTTATAGCACTGTAGTGAGTGCCTCTGTAAAATGTAACACATCACTAGAAGGTTAGCTATTAAACTAAAATTACTTTTAAGATCTTTGGCAAATAAATGTGGAATTTAGTCACATTTATTAAGAAGCCAGAAGTGAAGTGTAGGGAAATATAATACATCTTGTGCTTCTGCATTTGTACTTTGCTTTGCTTAATAGTTATGGCTTCTATAAGCTGAATAATCATAATTTTTACAAATAGAATTATATTGAAATATACTAGGGGAACTTGCTAGTTAAAGTCTGTTTGTGAATTCACTAAGAAACATGTTATATTTGAAAAGCAATTTCCTTTCCCTATATACGTCTTATGCAAATCTAAATTTTTGTATCTTCAATTTATTTATCATTCAGCAAAGTTTTACATTATTAAAAAGTTGCTTTCTATTGTATTTAATGTTACTCAGTGATTAGGTTTTTTGATCATATAAGAAATCCATGACCCAGTGGATAGATACCATTTTTCATTAGTTGGCAATGATGCTATGTCAAATAAGAGCTGAACTGCCATCAAGAAAAAACAAATGTGAGTGAAAATTCAGTAAAGTTAAACAGTGTTTTTGAGTCCACCAGACGTTGTTTTAAGGTGCTGGCAAAACACATGTGAATGAGACATAGTCTCTTTCCTTAAGGAACTGATAGCCTGGTGGATAAGTCAGGTAAGTTACCAGTGCAGGATGGTGAATTCAGGATCTAGGCCCATGTCAGAATCCTGTGGGAAGGCAAGAACTGGGTTTGATAATCAGTGGGAATGTCAGTCATGACTGAAATATTCTTTCAGTGCCAGTGATTGCTGACATCTACCTTGTCGTTTTAGTATTTATAAAATACAGTGCTCATTAGTTCTCCTCACTAGTGGTGGGTTTTGAATGTATCTTAACTACATAATTGTAGTTAAGTCTTCCCTGGTGGCTCAGATGGTAAAGAGTCTGCCTGCAGTGTGGTAGACCCAGGTTCAATCCCTGGGTCGGGAAGATCCCCTGGAGAAAGGAATGGCAACCCACTCCAGTGTTCTTGCCTGGAAAAATCCCATGGACAGAGGAGCCTGGCGGGCTACGGTCCATAGCGTCGCAAAGAGTCGGACACGACCGAGAGACTGACACACACACATAATTGTATAAAATTTGTTAATTTGTGTATGCCCAAATGCTTGTTTTGATAGAGTAAGAATCTTCAAAGTAGAAAGGTAGCTAAGAAATTTAGTGGTCATTAAGTCAATCCTGGTAAAACTCGTTTATGTTATTCATATTAAGTGTTCATTTATTCTTAAACTCCAGTCAATAAAGGTTCTCTCTAATACAATCAGCATGCAAACTTAGTAAAAAAATTTTTTTTCTGCTTTAATGAAGAACATGCATCAAGCCCATAGGACTCAAAAGCTCTTCTAGTTTTGCAATCTCAGGCTTTTCATACTTTACCTCTGGACAATGATCTGAAAAACGGAAGTGTTCTTTTATTCCTTCATTTAATCTAGAATTTACAAAAGCGGTAAATACAAATATTTTGTAACACGTGCCTTGCCCTTTGGCCATCCTGTCCTGACACATGTCCTGCCTCAGTCCATTAGTGTATTGTGATGGACATTGATGAAATTGAGGGAGTCCCAAGAAGTCATCCTTCTTCCCTTTTAAGACCTTGTTTTGAACACTGGTAACTAACTGGTGGTGTTTCACCTCGTTAAGCACATTTTGGAGAGCCCTGCTGTCATTAAAGACAAACAAACTTGGTACAAATGGGCAGAAGTTGCTCAGATGATATGACTTGGCTGACAGGAAGCAGAGTCAGAGACAGGATATCAAATAAGAAGATTACATTAGAAAAGGGGCTCTGAAGTCATACCAAAGCTAAAGAACATCTCCCCCCACACTTAAACTCCTTAAGTGGAACATCATAAATTCTTGCCAGCTCCATGCAAAATTTATTGAGTGCTTTCTGGGGGACCCAACACTAGATACTGTGGGAGTTCAAGGTATTATTAAGTGCCATTTGTGAACAGTTAAGCAAAATAATTGTAAAGAAAGTTTCAAAAAGGTAAAAATAATCTGTTTTCTAACATGGAGCCAGCACAAAAATTCAGAATCTAAACAGATTTGTAATGAAATAACTTTAATTCTCTTTTAATTTCTGAGTAAGCCCAAAGACAAAATGCTGGTCTGGTGAGAAAATACATAACCTACTGATATTCCTTTTTAATAAACAATGTGTGACCCAAAGCTCAGGGATGTTAGCAAGTAAAAATTTCCAACTAGAACTTAATAAGATTTTTGTTTTGTTGCTAGTTCTATTAATGACAAATGATATGGCTTTCAAACTCATGGTAATGATATAATATTTCCTTTTACTTCTCTGGCAACTTTTTATTTGTTTAAATGTTTCTTCTTCGATGAACTAAGCCTAACACATCTAACAGAACATTCTACCCAATAGCAGAAACATGCATTTTTTTTTCAAGTGCACACGAAATATTCTCTCTTATAGACCATATGTTGGGTCATAAAACAGATCTCAATAAATATAAAGTAATTAAAATCATGCAAAGTTTTTGTCTTTATAATGAAATGCAATTAGGTATTAATAACAGAAGGACATTTAAGATATTCACAAGTATATAGAATTAACACAGTCCAAAATAATCATTATATCAAAAGAGAAATTACAAGGAAAATTATTAGCTGTTTGGAGATCAATGAAAATGCAACATACCTACATTTAAATATGCACCTAAAGCTTACTTAAAGGGAAATATATGTTTTAGTAAATGCCTGTGTTTAAAAAAGAAGGAGAAGGAGGAAGATCTCAAATTAATAGCCTAATCTACCTCACAAAACTAGAAAAATACTAAATTCAAAGCAAGTAAGTAGAAGGAAATCTAAAACTTTTCAAGCAAAAATAAATGAAATAGACAATAGAAAAGCAGTAGAGAAAATCAGCAAAACCAAATTTGGTCTCATAAAAAAGCTGCTTAAAAATTAGCAAACCTTTAGTTAGACTAACCAGAGAGAGAGAGAGAAGACTAAATGCTATTACTAAAATCAGGACTCTTGTCTCATATTCCTACATTCTGTGTTAATACCCATTGATGTAGATTGTCTTGCTCATAGATGCTCAGCATGGCTCCTTTTCCTTTCTTCATTCAGAGGAAATGAAGCACATTGTATCAGCGGGTTGTTTTGTTTTGTTTTTTTAAATTCTCCTAAGAAACACTGCATGCTCAAACTGCGTAATTTAAGGAGAGGCCATAATGAATGATTTATATGCAAAAGGAGGGTGCATGGATGGAGTGTAGGTGTAGGGAGCATGTGAAGGAAAGTACAATATATTGGGGTCAGTAACAACCAGAGCACATTTACCACTCCAGAGCCTTAAAAGGCAGGGGAAGGACCTGAGATAGAGAGGGTTGAGGAGAACTGCTGACTTTTGACCTTTGTCTGGTTGATAGGACTCAGCAGACCAGTGGCATCTCCATTAAGGGGGAGTTGGGAACAAAGGGAACCTTAAACACTCTGTCTTTTCCTGGTTTCCTGCTACTGCTTTCCATCAGCCAAACCCAGTCAAAAGCCAGGGCCCAAGGGAATCAACCCATAGACATCAGGCTCCCTGGGCAGCAAGGAGGGAAGAAATGGGAGTAGATAGAGCTGAGTGGGGCACCTGGAAGCTATTCAGCAGGTACTAATCATGCTAGATGAGTGTTCTACATGAGATTAGCTACAAGTTGACTGCTTGAAATTCCAGAGTAAGAGAAGAATGAGCAGATTACTTCCCCTGTCTTGTTTTCAGTATAGGCTTCCCTGACTTCACACTCACCATGGTTCTTTTCTCCTGGGCTAAGATCCCGCACTGTGTAAACCAGGAAAGCAGCTGAATGTCTTATTTGTCTTCTGGAGTTATTATGAGGATCTAAGATAGCATTTTAATATAAGATAACAGGTATTGTGTGCTTAGGAAGCTGACATGCTTTGCCTCATTTAATCTTTACAGTAGCTCCATAAGGTAGCTGCTTTTAACCCCTGCTATTTCATAGATCAGAAAATTGAGTATCAGAGAGATGAAGAAGCTTATTCAAGGTCTTGTAGCTAAGTGGTGGATTAAGGATTTAAATCCAGTCCAAAGTCTGGGTCTTAATCACTAGGTCGTGTATGTCTCAGCTGTCTTCCTGGTTTGCACAGTGTGGGTTTCAGCACAGGAGAAAAGGTCTCCTGTGAGCATCAAGTCAGAGAAGGCTCCTTCAGTGAAAGTAGCATTGGGATTACTTTCCTTTTCTTCATTTTGGACTCCTCACATTCTAACTTATCAAGAGAAAAAGTCAGTTCTAAGAGTTAATGGATAAATAAATTGTAGTATATTCATGCAGTGGAATACTTCTTAGCAATAAAAAGAAATAAGCTATCTCCAAGTAGTAGCTTATGTAGGTAGAAGCATTATGTAGGTAGAAACCAGATGTTAAAGAGTGCATATTCTCTTCTGCTGTGATAGGGATCAGGGTGGTCATGTGGGCAAAGGAGAAGTAGAAATGAGGGGGCAGGGGTGGAAGTGTTCTATGTCTCGAGTGGAGCTGTAGTTACCGGAGAATATACTTGTCAAAAATTCAAATTGTACTTTTAAAAGAGTACATTTTATAGTTAGCAAATTATACTTTAATAAACTGATTTTAAAATAACTGGTGAAATTATGAGAACATATTTAAGTAAAACTATGCAGTTGATTTAGAGTAAAAATTACTGATCACAGGTATGGTATACATTTATTGTAAATGAGTTAAGCCAGAAGTAAAAGCTAAAATTCATGTGATTTTTTTTTCTTGGTAAAAATGCCACCTGTGACGTAACTTTTAAACTTGAATTACCTTCAATTTCTTTTTTTTTTTTTTCTTTTTAATCCAGAATGGTCAGTTGGAGTGTGTACGCTGGATGGTGAGTGAAACAGAAGCCATTGCTGAATTGAGTTGTTCTAAGGATTTTCCAAGCCTTATTCATTACGCAGGTTGTTTTGGTCAGGTATGAAGAATTTTTTAATTATTTTCTCTTTGAATGCTGTGTAATCTGCCACTTTTTAAATTTTTAGTCTATCAAAATCCAAACCTAAAAAACCATCAAAGATGTATTCAAAGATTTATACTGCTGCTGCTAAGTCACATCAGTCGTGTCTGACTCTGTGTGACCCCACAGATGGCAGCCCACCAGGCTTCAGTGCCTGGGATTCTCCAGGCAAGAACACTAGAGTGGGTTGCCATTTTGTTAAACCTAAATATTTCATGATAGAATATTGGATAAATAATAAAACATTCATATGATAGAATTTTTCAGAAATATATTCATTATATAATATTGAGTTAAAATATATGATGCAAAACTGTTCCTGTAATTTGGTACCAACTTTGAACTTTGGAGAGAGAGAAAGAGAAATGAATAATAAGACTAGAAAAAAAAAACTGTCTCCACATGTTTATAGTAATTATCACTCAGGATTATAAGTGGCTTTTATTTTCTTTTTTTATGTTTTTCACTTCTTTCCCAATTTCCTGAAATAAACAAATTTAACTTTTGTGGAAAGGAAAAATGATATATTTTCTTGAACCCAAAATTAAAAAGCAAATCTTTAGTAAGACATTAATTGAGGAAGTCTTGCTCCATTAAATATTAGCAAAACAATCACTTACCTAAAATTTTCTTAAATATTCATACATGTTTTCTTTTCCAAAACAGGCTGTTTACATGCAGTTAAACCATCTTTATTGGGATTTTAATTGTCATTGATAAATTTTACTTTCAGATTAATTTGGTAGTAATTACAACATTGAGTCTTTGTATTCATGTTTTTTATATATTCAAAGCTTGTTTTATCATCTTCAACAAAGAATTAGAGAATTAAAAAAAAAAAGATGAGCACTCATGCAAACAAAGTGTCTCAGTTACAGTCAGTTTCTACATTAGGAAATCCCAGTGTGAGTAATTGATGTATGCAGATTACAATCCAGTGTATGCAGTAAAAAAATCATCACTAACTCCCTTTGAGAAGGATGAGTATAAATAATCTTAAAAAAAAAAAAAACTGGAACCACAAAATGCCAATCTCAGCCTTAAGAAAATATAAATAAAGTCAGCAGTGCATTAAAATAGATTTAATCACATTTGTTTGTGGCAAAGAAAATTGCTTCTCATTCTTATAACCGTATCCCTTTGGCTTCATAAACTTCCCCAGTGGCAGTAAATTGTGGTGTTGTCAACAAGAGATTATATTTTTTCAAGCATGACAGTCTCAAATTTATAAATAGACTCAGAATATTGCCACAACCTTTCTTTAGTGGGGTTCATGGTAGGTGATGCTTTATAATATGCCATGCTAACTTCAATTAATATGTGTGTGTAATGTTTCCTATACGTATCAAGCACCATGCCACTGGACTTAGTGTACATTATCTGACTTAGTCTTTAAAACAACATTATTGGATTCTGTTGTTTTTATCCCTGGTCTATAGATGAGGAGACTGAAGACAGAAAATTGTTTAAGTGGCCAGCATGTGGTCTAGTGGCCAGTAAGAGCAAAGGCTGGATCTCAACTCAGGTCCTTTGACTTTGGGGCCAGATTCTGTTTTTTTCCTCCATCCGGGTATATACTTGGTGTAGCTTATTCGCAGTGGAACTGATATAGCTGCAGAAGTCCTTTTTTTTTTTTTTAATAATTCTATCTAACAATATGTTGTGATATTTGGAGTATCTTAAACACAAACTCATGGTACTAAATTTATGGAATGAAGAAAAAAGCAAGACCATTTAAAATTTGTAAAAGCCACTGTCTTTGAAGTAATTGCTTAATTTTCTTTGTGTATTGCACTTATGAGCCCCAGCCATGGTGTTCTATGAACTACCATAAGAATTAATAAGTATTTGCTAAAGATGCTGTTTTTTGGCTTAGGCCAGCAGAAGGGAGAATAGTATTTTCAAATGACCAAAAGAAGTATGAAGACAAATAGTCCCCATCAATCATTCTCAGTATAAGAATTCTCTAGTTTGAATAAATTCTTGCAAAGTATCCCTACTGTAATTTGTGATATGATGCTGTGCCCTAAAGTGTATTTTTTTACTAATAGACAATTTATTATGGCACATCAGCACGATTTCTGTTTAGATAATACATCACTACATTCTGTTAATCATTAGGTGTGACTGGATTTCTTTTACAGTTATTAAAAACTCAAATTTCTAAATCTGCAGAATAAAACTTTTTAAAATAAAAAAAAAAGATGAAATTTTATTTATTCTCAAATTGCCTGAATAATTGTTTCACACCCCTGATTTCATTTGCTTATGTAAAGAGGAGTTTCAGATATCAGTGGAAAAGCTGACTGCAGTTTTGGAAGAGCTTGCCAAAGAAAAGGAGGGAAGGATTGCATTGCTGTTCTGAGACTTTAAGTCAATAACAGGGCATCTGGTATTCTTCGTCCCGGGAAATGTTGCTTAGAGGTGCCAGTTTCTCTCTTCTACTCTCACAGCAGGAGTCTCATAACTTTGAAGCCATTGGGACAAAACAAAAGAAAATGCCATTTCTGGGATTTGGTCAGGTGATAGTGTGGTTTGTTTGGCCGGAGTAGAGGAAAATACAGAAATTAGTGACCTTTGTGAAGAGCCACGTCAAACATTTGCTTCATGTTAGTATCAGTCTTCAGGTTGTTATTTCAAGTTGATAAGCATTTTTAATGACCTCAAGTACAGCTCTGAGCAGGGTACCCCAGCAGTGCCTTCAGGAGAGCATTCCTACCCAAGTGGAAAATGTAGACACCCATCAGGACTGCAAACTCAGCCCAGCCATCCTACATCCGCCGCAGCCACTTATGTAACAGATAACCTGCGGAGATGCTGAACTTGGAACCATTGCAAGCCTAATATTTTCACAAGGAAGACTGTTACTGAACAGTTTTCTAATGGATTCAGCACATGCAGGTTTTTCTACATCGAGCAGGCACTTGACTGTGTTCTGCTTTTGTTTCTTCAGTAAATACCTTTTGGAAAGGACAGTACAGAGGAAAATTTCTCTCCTGGTTTATTTTAGTCACCCTCTGCCCCTCCTGTAGATTCTCAAAAGAATGGGCTCTATTTGACTCACAATTGGCATCCTTTTTCTGGTAAAAATGACCTGTAAGGACTCCAGAACCACGGGGTAGCCAGCAGTTTTTAGTGGTCTCCTGGAGTGATAGATCTTTGGGTAACAGGAATTGATTTTCCTCCTCTTGCCACACCAAGTCTCAGAGGGGGCAGTTACTTCATTGTCTGATAGTACCTATCAGAACCGGCCCCGGGGAGCATGAAGGTGAACGCATGAGGGACTCTCAGAAAGAGACAGGCGCATGTTCAGATGGGCCTGCTTTGCTGTCCCATGGGAGGAGGATGCTGGTGAAACAATCGAGACAGAATGATCTCAAGCCAAAGCTACCGCCTGTGTAACTTGGACTGTTTTATTCAAATATGAAAGCTCAGATGGTCTCCTTCAGGGTCCCAGCGAAGCTCTCACCCTCACATGCTTGGGTGCTTCGGCCTGTTTGGCGTGTTGGTCAGTTTCAACATCAAACTTCTCATTTTGTTTCTAAACCTTTAATGTGCCTTTTGGTCAAGAAGTTCTGCTATGGAAACAACAGGCATCATAGCATTAAGCATTTACTGAGAAAGAACACGCTTGCCTATGTGTTCTTTCTGTTCATTCTCCATTTTAAATGTTTGGCCTGATCAGATTAAAAAAATAAAAGACACTTTTTCACAAAAGGCTCAGAATTCCTCCGAATGGTCATGAATGGTGACGGGCCTTCTGATGAGGGGGTTGTTTCCACAGGCTGTGTTATAGTTTTTCTGCAGTTTACTTTTAAAAAGGAGAAATATTCTGTTGACTTTATTATTTCATTGTCATGGGTCAGAAATAAGTAAACAACACTGAAAGTGCTGCGATTGCAGATGGAAGTGCATAGAAAAATCTTTGATTGGCACAAGCAAGAATCTGCTCTCCAAGGATCTTTGAAAAAGCATAACCAGCATAAGAGCTCCACAGCCCACAGACTGACAGGCAGTTAATGTGATTTCTGTGACCCAGGGAGTGCCGAAGGAGCACGTCCTTTATGGAGTCAGGGGTCATGCGTCATGAGCCGTGATGGATATTCATATACAGAAGGCACAGAACGTTAGCTCCTCGGTCTGAGTTTAAATCCTAGCCCTACTGTTACTAGCCCAGGAGCCTTGTATATATTTCTTTATTTTAAAAGAAAAGATAAGAAAATGTCTCCCCGGACCTCAGTTTCCTCATCTTTAGAATGGAGATAATAGAACTTTCTTAACAGGGTTGCTCTGAGATCCAAATGAGATAAGTCGCAGGAAGCCTGTAGTAGACACTAGGTAAATGTCAGCTCTAATGATTATTGGCTACCTTCCAATTTATGATTTTTATTGCTATACATATTGTTTATTTACCTATAAGTAAAGTATAAGTTTGGCAAAAAACATTTTTCAGCCTAAACAACTCTGTGTGTGTGTTAATCACTCAGTGTCTGACTCTATGTGACCCCATGGGCTGTAGCCCACCAGGCTCCTCTGTTCATGGAATTCTTAGGCAAGAATACTGGAGTGGGTTGCCATTCCCTTCTCCAGGGTGTCTTCCCAACCCAGGGGTAGAACCTGGGTCTCCTGCATTGGCAGGCAGATTCTTTACCATCTGAGCCACAAGGGAAGTCCTAAACCTGTTCAATCAATTCTTAGATGTATTATTTTTTCACGTTTTACTGTCCCTAGATTCTACATTTATTTTATAATAAGTGACAATATGAAACTATTGCTGGCCTTGTTTTTCACATTTTAGCATCTCAAAAACTGGAATGAATCTTATAATTGATGGCTTGTTCGATTTGATGACATAATCACAGACAAAATTGCCTCCTTTAGAACTACAGTTGTAACAAAACTATAGAGATTTTATTGATAGCAGTAATGCACCTGTGGCATACTTTTCAATTACATTT